CGCCGCACATTCCCCCCCCCCCTCCCCCGCCTCCTCCTTTCCCCTGCTTCTTTTGATGTACACACCTGTGTACGCTTCACCCCTCCCTCCCCTCCCCTCCCCCCCCCCGGCGCCCGGTCTGACACTCTGCCCAATCCCCCGCCGGCCTCCCAGACACAATGCTCCCCGTTCTCCGTAACGCCGCCTTCTCGGCCTCCCGCGCCTCCATGGCCCGCAGCGCCGCCTTCTACTCTACCCAGACCCCCAAGTCCACCGAGGTCGAGAAGAAGGCCGACTACGGTATGCCCTTTGTCTCCTTGTGCTTGCCCTGCCTCCTCCACGCTCGCCCACGCCCGCCCCCGTCCTGACATCTGGCTGTGGCCGGTTTCCGCCCCCTCCCTTCCTCCCGCCCCTGCCCCTGCTCCCCCCCCCCCACCAGACTACAAGGCCATGGCCTCCAAGTTCATCGACTCCCTCCCCCAGACCTCCTTCATCACCAAGTCCGGTCTGCTGGCTGGTGGTGTTGGTGCCCTCCTGTACGCCATCGGTAACGAGTACTACGTCGTTTCCCCGGAGACCCCGGTCATCATGACCTTCTGTATCTCCCTGGCCGTCGTGCACAAGCTCGGTTTCCCGGTCGTCGCCAAGGCCCTGGACGACCACGCCGCCGAGGTCAAGCGCGCCCTGGAGACCGGCCGCGAGACCAAGCGCGCCGAGATGCTCGCCGAGATCGAGAAGCTCCGTGGTGATGCCGACCTTGTCGAGGCCACCAAGGCCCTCTTCGAGTACCAGCGCCAGCTCGTCCAGATGAAGGCTCAGGTTGGTGAGCTCTCCGTCCAGCGCGACGTTCACAACAAGATTTCTGTGCGACCTCCACCTCCCTCCCCCCCCCTCCCCTCCTCGGCTCCTTCCCTCTGGCGCTCTCTCCTCCGCTGGCTCCCACTGACACTCTCCTCTGCCGGCGTTCGCCTCCCCCCCCTTCCACAACCTCGACCCCCTGGTCCCCCATCACCTCTCCAAACTCTCGACCTAGGATCCTGCCAGCCATGCCCGCC